GGGGACAGGCCAAGGCTGCTGTCACCAGGAGGCCCAGGGCTAGGACAGAAAGGCCAGGGTGCCCTTGGCATTGCTGTAAGCATCAGATGAGGTGTGGGGAGCAGGGCGCAAAGCTTTGCACATCACTCAGCAGAGACGGGGGCTTCCTCCACAGAGGGGATGTAGTGAGTGTACTCTGTGCCCTGGGCTCTATACATGCTATCTTGGGCCTCATTGCAGACGTCCCCATTTTACAGTGGACCTTGCTAAAGCTCTGAAAGGCTGGGTAAGCTGCCTTAGGTCACAGCCCTGACAAGCCAACAGAACCAGAGTTTGAACATGGGACAGCCTGGCTCCAAAGCTCTATGCTTCACAGTGACAGCTCGCCTCTGAGCCCTGGTGTGCCTTTCCCAACCAGCAGCCGACCTCTCCCCGGAGGGCAGGTCTGTGCAGCCATGCAGCAAGATGCTTGGGCTGCTCTGCCTTCTGACTCACACCTCAGGGCCAGCCTCATCCTCTCCAGAGCTCCCCTCCCAGCCCTGCCCGTGGGCCCCAGCTGGGGGCATGGAGCCAAGAGGAAAAAGCCAGCTAAGGCAGGGCTTGTGTGTGTCCTGCCTGTTCTCATCACTCCATTTTCATATGCCATCTGATCTCTGGGATCTCAAATGGGTCAGTTTAGCAAGGTTACCTGGAAGTTGCTTCTGGCCCCTCACAGCTACTGACTGGCTGGTGCTCCCTTGGGAGTAAGATGTATGTGTGCTTACAGCTCTGGGACACACAGCTGTGGTGGTGGCCCAGTGTTGCCCGGGGCCCTTGGTGGTTACCGGCAGGGTCACGGGGAGGCAGTTTTGCTGAGCTGGCCGACTGCTGGGTGAGTGAGACTGAAGGATGAATAGGAGGGGCACGGTCATCACTCCAGTACTCACTTGCTAATTCCCAGGGTTAAATAAAGGTTTCATCTTTGTCAACTGAAACCATTTTCTGGGGAAGACCTGAATATGTCGTTAAATCCATTTATACCATCCGCTTCACTAGCGTGACTATATGCTTCTTGGCATTGTGGGTGAGGTGCGATTGCTGGTGTGGTCTGCCTTTTCCACAGCATCCTTTCATATTTACATTTTCTTGTGTAACTACATTTTTTATGTCCTTGTCATCTCTAACAGCACTGCAGTTTTCCATCATATTGCTATCCCATAATTGGCCTGGTTATTTCCCCATTGCCCAGGCATTTGGGTGGCTTTCAGTTGTTCTTTATAAATGATACTGTGTTACCTGCGGGTAAATTCATTTACTCCCCTTTATTCTCTTGGATTTACTCCCCAACGTGTAATCACCCATCCAAGTGACTATAGAACCGTGTTCCTGATCTTGTTATGGGCGTAGCCCCAAGTTATGTTCCAGAAAGATGGGGCCAGTGTGGACCGGCAGCATCGCACCGGGAATTTCAATGTAGAAACACCTTTTAAGTGTAATTGAATTGCAATTGAAAAACAAGTTGAAAATTTTGAATTTAACGTTAATACCATGTTTTGTTAAAAATCTGACATCAAGGATAAATCGTTAAAATGATCATTTCTAATAGCTAACACACTTGTTTTCATTCTTGCTGTTCCTCATGTTTGTCTCTGTATGCACATACTTTTTCATTATTATAATCAAGCCACAACTGTGACTCAGCTTTTTCCCTTTCTGTGACCCTTCACATACCAAAGCCCGGTGCTACACCTTTCCCCTGTAGTGCTCCATGGACTTCCTATTTTTGTAATGGTCTTAATCAGTTCTCACACTGAACTGAGACAATGTAACTGGTGCTCTTGCTGGCAATTGTGTTGTTGACCATCTGCTCCCAGGAGGCCCCTGCAGCCTGATCCACCCCATCACTCACCTCCTCCCAGCTTTGCTCATGCCTTTCCCCGCCTCTTCTCGGAGCCTCTTTGTTCCTCTGTCCACTCCTCTTGCTCGGTAGGGATTGACATTCACATCCCCTCGCCTTGGGGGCTGAGATGGGATCGCCCCCATTTCTGGGCCCCATCCTGAGTGCAGTACCTGGCAACCAGCAAGCAACCCATCCAACTTCCCGATTCCTGGTGTTTGAGCAAGTTGGGTTGAGCTGAGTTGCTTCTCTGGCCTGGCCAGCTGGGCACTTACAAAAGTCCTGGTGAGACGAGCCAGCATCCAGAGAAGTGACCAGCTGCTTCTCTCCCTCAGGACTTCCTGGGCAGATACCCTGTCACCAAGTACTCCTGGGTGGGGGCCCGGCGAGGCCCCCAGGGCTGGCACTGGATCGACGGGGGCTCCCTGCCACCCCAGCTGTGAGTGATTGTGGGCCTGGGGGTGTGTGGCTCCTATCCCTATTGCACTAGCATGGGCTCCCCAATGTGACCAGAGTAACATCACAGCAAGCGCCAAAGGGGGGTTGGAGGCCTTCCCCCCTGCAGACACCTCCCCCACTGCCATCTGGAGCCACCATCTCCCAACACTCAGTCACCCTGCTCCACCCCAGCCTGAATGCCTCTTGGTTAACCCCATACCCATGCTCAGGGCCTGGTTTTGTTTAGTCCCCACCACCCTATCCCTTGTCTAGACCCCCAGTACCATCACCCAAGCAGGACTGGCACCCTGTTCTACAGATGAGAGACATGTGTGCGACTCAGAGAGGTTTACTGGTTCACCCAGTGCTGAGCCAGGGTATCCTCACGACTCCTGCCACAGGGCTCCTACACCCCGGGCCTGGCCAGTGGGTATGCAGGCTGGAGGGCCTGCGACACCCTGAGTGCCCTCCTTCCTCTCATCCTTCCCCAGACTCCCAGAGGAAGACAAGGACCAGCCGGGTCTGAAGTGCGCGGGCCTGGAGGGAGGCAAGATCATGGCTTTGGACTGCGCCTCTTCAAGACCCTGGGTCTGTGCCCACGGGACCAACTGACTGGGGTTCTGCCCATTCCAACCCTGTTGGGGGCATACAGTTCCTCCCCCCACAAGGGGGGCCTATTCCCTGGACCCAGGCTCCCGCTGCTCCCTGCTTGGCGCCTGGGGGCCCTGCCTGAGCGAAGTGGGGAGCTGGGCGTCTGTTGCAGGAAGATCACCTCCAGGGAAGGCTTTCTGTGGCCCATATTCGCCTCCAGCTGCTGAAGAGGATTTGTTCAGAGACCCTGAGATGGGTTTTTGTGGTTTTTTTTGCATTTCTGAGCCTTGGTCTTTCCCTCATGAAAATGGCCATTACCCATTCTCTCCCTTGCCTGCTTCATCACAATGCACCCTTCAGTCCTAGGGGAACAGAAAGGATTAGTGATCACAGTTGAGCCCCACCTGAGTGGACATGGAGCCATGAAATGAGTGTTCCACTGGTTTGTGGCCAGAGGGCTTGTCAGCAGTGACATCCTTGCTATAAATGCCGTTTCCATGCTAGGGCCACACAGCTGATGACCCCTGTCAGCAAGTGAAAAGTGGTGGCCCCCAGAGGAGGAGGGAGGTTGCACACTGATGGCCAAGGCTGGGGCGATGGGGAGATGACCACCATGTTAGGCGAAGTCCCTGCAAAGCACGGGGTCCGACAGGAGGCTGTACATGCATCTAATCTTGGTGCTGAACATTCCACACAACTGTGATACAAACAAACTTTCCAAATTTCCTTGGGAGAAGCCTGTGTTGGTTCATTTAAACCAGTAGCATGTATAGAATGTATGGGCGAGTCCTCAACAACGCACTTGACAAGCAATGAAAGTCTTAGAAGCACTCTGGCTCTCATTCCAACAGCAAATTAACCCCAGGGCTTGATAACATGTTCGATTTTCACTCCAAAGCCCTTCTCAGCAGACATCCTGTGCCTGGTGCATCAGGCTGGTTCAACATAGGAGCCTTTGGGTTCCTCCCAGCTTCAGGGCCGAGTACCAGGGCTTGGGGATCCCAGGACACAGGTGCCACAGAATCAGCTGTGGCAGTGCCTGGAGTGTGGTGCTGAGGGCTGGAAATCTGAGTTACTCACCTTCACTTGGTGAAGAAGGGGAGTAAGAATGAGCTTATTAGGACGTTACTAGTTACTGTCCAAAGTTGGCAAACCAAGAAATCAAAAGTGTAAGCTTATTATTTAGAAATACGGAGACAAGTACTGGAATAGCGACAATAATTATAAAGCATTGCCTTAAAATTGATGACAGAAGTCAGAACCGTGGCTAGTAACTGGGCAGAGGAGCCAGGGAACATCCTGGGTGCTGGGCATGGTCTAGAGATCTTGATCTGGGTGGGTTGAGTATAGCTGCATAAAAAGTCACCAAGCTGTTATGCTTAAGGTTAAAAAGTAACATCTGTCATTAGACTGATTATATATATATACAGATATACATACACACACACACATATATATATACATACATACACACATATACTAGAGGCCCAGTGCACAAGATTTGTGCACTTGGGGAGGGGGTTCCCTCAGCCCGGCCTGCACCCTCTCGAAGTCCAGGAGCCCTTGGGGGATGTCCAACTGATGGGGAGTGGGCCTAAGCCAGCAGTCAGACATCCTTAGTGCTGCTACGGAGAGGGAGAGGCTCCTGCCACCACCACTGCGCATGGCAGGACTTCTGGCTAAGCGGTGCTCCCCCTGTGGGAGCGCACTGACCACCAGGGAGCAGCTCCTGTGTGAGTGTCTGCCCCCTGGTGGTGAGTGTGCATCATAGTGACCAGTCATTCACCATCCAGTCAATTTGCACATTAGCCTTTTATTATATAGGATATATCTGTATATATTATATAATACATACATATATATATATTTTTTTTAAGAAAATTGGTCACTGGGTACATAATTATTTGGGGTCTAAATAGTTACCTGGAGACTGTTAGAAATTTAAAATAAATGCTGAAGTAAATGTTACATATTATCATCACCTGATTCATCTTCCTTCAAAGATTCCTTGGCTCCCTGGCTGGTGTGGCTCAGTTGGTTGAGCGTTGTCAGTGCACCAAAAGGTTGCCAGTTCTATTACTGGTCAGGGCACATGCCTGGGTTTTGAACTCAATCCCTGATGGGGCGTGTGGGAGGCAGCTGATCAATGTTTGTCTCTCCCTCTCTAAAAAATCAATAAAAACATTTAAAAAAAAGGTTCCTTAGCATATTTCTCCACATCTTCCCTTATGTATTTTGGAACAATTTCATGTCTTTTAGTTATTTCACCAACCCAGGTGAGCTCCAGTTCAAAAGCTTTGTCCTTAACTTCATGTAGAACTGACTTTTTAAAAACACATCCTTTAGTAGTACTAACTTAAAATCATATTCACATTTTTAAAATATACACAAGACTCATATTTATGTCCTACTTTGATAAAAAGAGAAATTAAATAAAAAGAGAAGTTTTTTTAAAAAAGGTCCACAAGAGCCCTAGCTGGTTTGGCTCAGTGGATAGAGCGTCGGCCTGCAGACTGAAGGGTCCCAGGTTCGATTCCAGTTAAGGGCACATGCCTGGGTTGCGGGCTTGATCCCTAGTGGGAGGCATGCAGGAGGCAGCCGATCAATGATTCTCTCTCATCATTGATGTTTCTCTCTCTCTCTCCCTCTCCCTTCCTCTCTGAAATCAATAAAAATATTAAAAAAATAAAAATAAAAAAATAAAAAAGGTCCACAAGAGTCTGATATGCAGCCGGCTTGAGAACTACTCGCCTCAGAAAACAATGCCACCACTGCCTTTCCCTCCGGCCTGTAATCACCCATCACGGAGGTGCATGCTCACAAGTAAGTTTCTGCATCACCTTCGGAGCATGTCTTTCCCTTCCTAGGAAACAGAAGCTGGAGAAGTCACACAGCCGGTTGGTCTGCATGGAATTCCTCTGAGTAATGTTTCTAGTCTCTTTCCCACCAGGCACTGCCAGGTGCTATTGTTTGAAATTCACGTCTAGTAATGCTGCTACCAGCACTGGCTTGTTCCATGTGCTTTCAAGAACAGCCTCTGACACCAGCGGGCGCAGCAGCCACAGCCCCTGAGGAGCCGCTCTGGACATCTAGTCTCTAACAGTCACCTGTGTTAAGCACATGGAACTCACCATCCCCCAAGTACCGAGTTTTTGATTCAGTGGGTCAGGGCCCTCATGTGAGGTTTCTACCAGCTTTCTTGGTGATTCTCATGCAGAGGGGCCAGAAGCCACATTCTGAGAAACCCTGTCTAAAAGAGCCCATCTTGCTACCAGAAAAAAATAAAGTATGTATGTATATTTTTTAAGTCAACTTTGAGGTCTAATTTGCACCAAAGGAAATACATTCATCTCAGGAGCACCTGCTGACAAAGGTAGGCACTTGCAGAACCATTGCCAATCAAGATATGGACTAGCACCAATACTCTAGAAAGTTCTCTCATGTCCCTTTGCTGTCAACAACCCTCCCTCCTGGACCTTTAGCCCCAAGCAAATAAATCTGCCTTTGATCTCTACAGATTAAGTTTAGCTTGTTCCAGGATTTCATATAAAAGAATCGTACAGTATGTACTGCTTGGTATCTAAGCAGTTTTAGCTAAGTATAAGGTTTTAAAGACTTATTCATGTTGCTGCACTTATCAGGTCTTTGCTTTGTAGGAATGTATCAGGATTTGTTCAGCTCCTCTCTAATTGGCGATACCACGGTTACCTCCAGTTTGAGGCTGTTACAAATATTGCTGTGAACATTGGAATACAAGTCTTTGTGTGGACATAGGTTTTCATTTCTCTTGGGTACCTGGGGTGAGATTACCTGGGGGTGTATGGCAAGGATATGTTTAATTTATAAGAAACTGCCAAACTGTTTTCCAAAGCAGCTGTGCCATTTTACAATACGCCGCAACACGAGAGTTCCAGTTGCTCCACATCCTTGTCAACACTTGTTGCCAGTCTTCTTACACTTAGCCATTATGGTGGGTGTGTAGTGGAATCTCAATGTGGTTTTCATTTGCATTTTCCTGATGGCTGAGAATATTGAGCTTTTTTCATGAACTCATTGGCCATTCATATATTTCTTTTGTGATTCTGATACTGATGGTCCAGAGACGGTATTTAGAGAAATCCCACCTAAAACATACATGCCCACAGGGCAATGTTTTAAGTGATTTAAATGTAAAATGTAAAATATTGCCCAACTGCCGAAACCGGTTTGGCTCAGTGGATAGAGCGTCAGCCTGCGGACTAAAGGGTCCCAGGTTCGATTCCGGTCAAGGGCATGTACCTGGGTTGCGGGCACATCCCCAGTGGGAGATGTGCAGGAGGCAGCTGATCGATGTTTCTAACTCTCTATCTCTCTCCCTTTCTCTCTGTAAAAAATCAATAAAATATATTTTAAAAAAAATATTGCCCAACTTTGTGAAATAGGGTATTTCAATATGCAGAATTTAAAGAGTGACATGAACACCTATATGCTATCTACCTAGCTCTAACAATAAACATTTTGCCATTTACCCTACTTATGTATATATAAAATTGAACAATTTGAAAATGTTACAGACATCAACACACTTCACCCATAAATACTTCAGCTTGCATCTCCTCAAAATAAGGATATTCTTCTATGTAACTGCAATTCCACCATTAACTTAATTTGGGTCACAGAGATGTGAGAAAACGGTTGCCTGAGGCTTCTGAGAAAAGTCGCCTTGCTCTTTAGACACAAAGAAAAAGTTTCATCTGGATATAAGGCTCAGTATGGGGCTGTCACATGGAACTCAACCATGGGAGCCAAGGCACCCTTCATTGTTCAAGCCCATTTGAGTTGGATCTTCTGCTACAGGCAGCCAACAGTATCGACAGAGGAGTGTACTACAGTTGGGACTTTGAGGGCCTCTTTGATTTCCATATGGCCTCGTCTCTTTGATGGATCCTTGACTGAGAGCCCAGTTGAGTCTGAATGCCTTGCTTTCAGCCTAAACCCTACTATGCTGGCCATTAGTTTGGTCTAATCCCAGATGTGCTTGTAGACCCAGAACCATCGACATCTTGGTTTCTCTGCTGGTACCTGGAAAAAATGCATGAAGGCCCTGCACACCTGTGGTCCCAGCACCGTTCTGCTGGTAGACCCCTACCTGGTCCCCCAATCGGCCTCTGTCATCAAAACCCTGTTCTCTGAGTCCTCCCCAGCATTTCCTAACTCCCCTGAAGCTGAGATTGCTTTTTCTAATTAGAGCAGGCAATGGAAAGAAAAATGAGGACAACTTTGTATTGCCTTATTTATACCCTGGGAAAATCTAAATATCAAGTCAGGATATAATAAAATCAGGATGTAAACAGCTTTTGTTTTTTCAAGTAGAAAAAATTTTTAAAAAAAAATATTTAGTTACAGCATATGATGGTGGACTGAGGTTCTGAAGAGTCTCTCAGCTGTCAACCATCAACCTCGAGAGATGTGAGGATGGTCTCAGATTTACACTCTAAATTCCATGAAGCCTGCATTCCTCACACTTAGGGGAACAAATTAAAAATAGTTCTTGAAAGGTGGTCTTAGATAATTATACTCACAGACACTAATTTCATTATTTAATGTATTTTTGTTGCTCAGACTTTCTAGAATCACGTGATACCTGTTTAAATCATAGTGGGTATATAGAGCTTTTCAATGCAGAAATAGCCTCATTATGTTAGTTATACCATGTTTTTATTTCAGTTTGCTGAATGAGAAGAAATACAAAACAAAAACAAATGAAAACCCCAATTTCTTCTGCAGGTCCAGTCTGTCTTGACAGCAGTTGTTACAGACAGCCCCGAAGCAGCTGGAATATAGTCGGCAAGGACCCAGGTGAACAGTTCATCTTGAATCGTCGCAGGTATAATTTGGTTTCCTTTGGTGCCTTGCACAGTAAGGCACTATTAATGATATAACAGAATAGAAGGTATGCCCACAGCATAGTTCTAGTGACAATTTACTAAGACAGGTTACAGTTTAATGATGGTGGTGGTGATTGTTTCTTTCACTTTACTATTATTTGTTACAATAAGGGTGTAGCCTTTATATTCCACACACACAAAAGAAAACAAGAAGTGCTTATGAAAAAGTCCCTGCCCCCACCCCCTTTTCAAAAACACCCCGAATGTAGCAATTCAATACAACAGAAAAATCAATACTTGTTTGATTTCAAATTGTCAATAAAAAAAGCAAAGTATGTAATGCAACAGCTGTTTAACTTTCAACTCTAAAACAAACAAAAACTCCCAATATTTAAATTTCTCCAGCACACATTCCAGTATAAATGCTCTGAACTGTAATCAGCTAGTAATTAATGGGAACAGAACCTTAGAAGTTATATTGCTTCCCTACCCCCCTTTCTCTTATAATTAGAGGGTCGGAGGTATTAGGGGATACAAAAGTCAGAGGAAGAAGAATTAAAAAGGAAAATTCCAAAAGCTGCAGTTTGTACTAGAAAGGAAGACAGCATTTTACAAATGCTCAAAAAATCCCAAGACAAGTTACACAATTCATTCACTATCACTCCTACTTGAAAGAATAAAGACCTCTGCGTCTTTTATAAAACTGTATTTTCAGAACTGCATTACAGGTTCACCAGAAACTATAGATGTAGTTTAGGCTTCATCAGGAAAACAAGTTCAGTTCAGATCAAGTTAGATACTGTATATCTAGCCTAGCTGGATCGGTGTCTGGAACTGCTCCCTGTGTCACCCCAAACAGCTGTAAACTAAACAATAGTATGTAACTCCATAGGAAGCTTAAGGATTGAGGATATGTACACAGCTAATTATATCTCCCCTGCTTCGCGCTCTTCAGAGCTCCTCCTGTCTTCTGATCTGCCATTAGCGCTCTCATAGGACCGCTTCTTATCTTTTCGATCTCTGTCACGAGGTGATCTGTCTCTTGAATTCCTGTCTCTGTCACGTGATGCTAAGTCTTGGTCTCTGAATCTTTCTTTTGAGGATCTGAAAAATATTAATTTAAGGAGCAAAATGTGTTGGGGAACCCAAAATCCAAGAGAAAGAATCGGATAAATATTAAGGTATGACTGCTGAAGACACACAGAATATATCCAAGAAAGACAAGTGTCAGTGTTCTGACAGAAAAGAGCACTACCATATTTGATAAGGGTCTATCTAAAACAAAGACATGGGTGAAAACAGCTAAGGGTGAAAACCATATGCGAAAATTATAGGGCATTCTCATTCTGAGAGGCAATCAAAAAAGCTTCTCCAATTCATAGCAAATGCATTTAACATAAGAATTATAGACAATAACTTAAAAAAGCAAAAGGTATTATCTTATTTTAAAATATATAATAGAATGTAGATCCCACATAGGATGGAAATCAATGTCTTAAACAGGGGCTCTGTAAACTTTTTTTGCTGTCTGGTCAGAGTAAATATTTTAGGTTTTGAGGTCACATACAGTCTGTGTGGTATATTCTTCTTCCTTTTCTTTATCAACCCTTTAACAATGTAAAAACCGCCCATAGGTTGCTGCCTATACAAAAACAGGTTAGGGGGCCAGATTTGGCCTGCAGGCAACTTAGATAAGAAAACTCATTTAATGACAAGGTAACCATTCATTATTTTAAAAATCTGCTTTACTCCTCCTGAGTTAGCTCATTCAACCAACAGAAAAAAAATCAGGATGGAAGACAGAAAAATACAATCACACTATTATAAATCTTGATTAACCATGACTGTTTTTCTTTCTTTTTATAGCAATGGTGGAAATTTATTGAGAAACAAGCACAGACTCCCACGTGAGGAGGGGGAAAGAGCCCCCAACCATGACTGTTTCTTAATACCGCCTCTCTATTCCCACACCCAACTTCAACAAAGTAAATAATAACAAAACAAGCTCATATCAGAGATTCAGTCAGTAGAAAAACCAAAGGACATGACGCAATCAGAATATGGAATTTTCTATACTTTCAACATCTAGAATGAATCAGTACCACATATTATGTTTATTTCATTCTTTATAGGTGAGATAATACTTTTACATGATTATCTCACTTAACCCATGTTCAGAATTTGGATCTGAGGCCTGATTAAGTAATATTTTCAACTTCTATGGCAGGAAAAAACCACTACCATACTCAGTTCTAGGAATATAGTTAAAGAGGATTAAACTAAAAAGGTAGAAATATAAAGTAATGCCAACTTCGAGCATTCTGCTTAATAAGATTTTAATGAGCTTAATTTAAAAGTGATGTGTGAAAAACACCACCACACAGTACACATCTGGCAACATTAATCCTATCCATACTTCATGAGAATGGAATATGGAGATGATGAGTAAGAGGTCAGTAATAATAACTGAAAATCAACTATGAGATGAGCATCAACTAATGCTTTGTGAGAAATCACAATGACTATACACTAGCAGTTTCCATTCACTATTTCACTCAAATTACCAATAGTCCTAATGAAGCAGGTATTCTTACCATCTATCTCTACCTAGTAGACGGGAAAAGAAAGGTAGGATAATTAAATTACTTAGCCCAGGCCACCGAACCCAAGCAGTCTGACTCCAGGGTCTGCACTATATGTCTGAACAGAGTAGGAAGCAGGAAAATGAAAATGGCCCTCATTTACCAAGAGTAACTGTTGCAAGGGAAAGGTCACAAACAGAATATGCTTATATCAGAAACCAGTATTTCAGCTGGGGCAGGGGAACAACAAATCATTAAAGACTCTTAACTGAGATTTTTACTTTGAAAATTAAACTCAAATATATAGCAATAACTTGTAATAACATATAGGTTTTAATGGCAACTTTCCAATAATTTTTGGTAAAAACAAAGACTATTACTTTGAAAGAATAATTTGAAGATAAGAAGTGCTCTAGAGAAAAACAAAACTTTTACAAAAATAATCCTCTTTAGGACATGCTGAAAATTTAGTAGAGGTATCACGTGTATGGTGGGAAAATGTCCTATACAACTTCATAAATGCAGGAAGCATTAGGGACTAGAATAACACAATCTCAGATGAGCAACCCTTCTATCTCAACCACCATAAAAGAGGTGACAGACACCAGAAACAATGAAAGGCGGGCGGGCTCTCCAGAGTAACTGTCGACCATCCATCAACCAGCAGAATGATTCCCAAAATTTACAGTGCAGTTAAAATTCATAGAGAATTTTTTAAATGCATTTTTCTGGGCATGGCACCGTGCCTACAGTTTTAAGAATTTGAGATAAGTGGCAAATCACACTATCAGAAACTATCCCTTATATAAATTCCCTGCTCATTCTCTACATTTGCCTGATAAGACTTTATAATATCTTTTCCTACCTGGTTTTATCTGTTCAAATGATACCCACTTTATTCGAGTTTTATCTACTACCTGAGCCATTTTTTTTATTGCTCTGGAACGTCCCACATTTACACTCCTGTATTAGTTACTCTATGACATACAGTTTAGCACTTTATAATATGCTAGGTTTTATATCAGTCTGTTGTCCAAGATGTTAGTCCTGTGTTCTAACTCACTTGAATAAAGTTGCTCAACTATGTTATATTTGGTATTGTTTACTAGACCTACAGTAGAAAGTATACAGTTCTTCCTGATTAAAGTTACCTTAAGAACTTCTTGGTTTGCTAAGAGAGTAGAACTTAAACATTCTCACCAAAAACAAAAGAGATAAATATGTGAGGTGATAATTAACTAATGGTGAAAATGTTTTTGTAATGTATATGTACCTCAAATCACCACAGTGCACACTTTAAATATCTTAGAATTTTATTTGCCAATTATACCTCAATAAAGCTGGCGAGGAAAGACCTACTTGGAACAAATCAAGAATATAATAAATATTGATTGACAGCCTGTGAACTAACTCAGCTTGTGAGTGGTTTCAGGGAATGGCTGGTTGGGGATCAAAAAAACACAGAAAGTTTAAACAGCATTCTGTGGATTCTATCATGGTTTTTATGTAGCATAACCCATAGACAATTTAAAACCAATAGAGACCAGGAACTCAAAAAATCATATGCATGTTTAAGAAGAGTTTTCAAGGCCCAGGCCAGTGTTGCTCAGTGGTTGAGCATCGACCTATGAGCCAGGAGATCACACATGGTTGATTCCCAATCAGAGCACATGCCTGAGTTGTGAGCTCGATCCCCAACGGGGGGGCTTGCAGGAGGCAGCAGGTTGATGATTCTCTCTCATCACTGATGTTACACTCTCTCTCCCCCACTTCCGCTCTGAAATAAAAAAAAAAAGTTGTCAAGAAAAAAAGCAACCTGAAGTGTGGTTTATGCTCCATAGAAATGAACTAGCTTAAGGACCATCCTGTAACCTGAGACACTTTGGGAGTTTGGTCTACATAGACTGAGTACTAAGGCTTCACCACATTGTTATACTTTGTCCCGATGAAATTTCCAGGTCCTTAAACTTACTTCACCCTGGGTCTGCACTCCTTGTATCATGTGAATTTTCATGTCAAGGAAGAAGTCTAACTTCTTTAAGACTGAATCTGCCCTGTCAAGCTAACTGTATATAACAACAACATACTAGAGTGTCTGCTCTGCGGAAGTGCACCAGCTCAAAGAAGTATGGAAAACATTGTCAAACAAAGCTGAACAATTCAATGAAAGGACTGCTCAGAGCCCCTAATTCATCAATACATACAGAAAAAAAACTCTAAGACTATTGGTACCTAAAATTATTTGCCCATGAAATCCGTCATTTTCCCCCCCACCCCCCACCCCCTGCCAAAAACATACCACGCAGAGAAAAGCATAACCTCTGCACATATTTGTTCCAAATGTCTTTCTCTGGCTCATAAGAATATTCTTTCTGAACTACCCATACAGTCAGGGAAAAAACTGTTAATACACCCACACACAAATGTGTACATATTACCAGATGCAAGTTTCAAACCAATAGTATTCCAATTCTAAACCATAAAGGTAGTTCCATGTCCTCTTATGGACACCTCAGTACCTCCTCCTGGATCGCTCTCTGCTTCTGTCTCTAGAACTGTGCCCACTTCTCTGGTGGCTGCGGCTGCGACTTCGGCTGCTAGAGCGAGATCTGTGGCGGTGGCGCTTCTCCCGAGATTTAGACCGAGTTCTCCTCTTCCGTTCTCGTGACATGGAGCGAGATCGATGTCGGCGATGCTCTCTGGACCTGGATCTATAAAAAAAAACATTTGATTTACTTTTTAGCTTTGTTAACACTACACTGCTCATTGACTAAAGCCTCTCTTTAAACAGAAACTATCCCTTAGTAGCTTTGCTTAATGCCAATTTTATTCAAGTCAACTAAATCCACACTAAAACTGCTGGTATCCTATATAATAAAAGGCTAATATGCAAATCAACCAAATGCCAGAATGACCAGTTGCTATGACACGCACAGAGGTCAATCAATAGTGTATAAATTGCCCTGGCTGGTTTGGCTCAATGGATAGAGCATAGGCCTGCGGACTGGGGTGGTCCCAGGTTCAATTCCGGTAAAGGGCACATGCCTGGGTTGCAGATCAATGATTCTCATCGCTGATGTTTTTCTCTCTCTCTCTCCCTCTCCTTTCCTCTCTGAAATCAACAAAAAAATATTTTTTAAAAAATGTTTTTTTAAAAAGTGTATAAATTTACATCAGGAATATAAAAAAAGGAAGGAAACCAATCTGTATCACTACTACACATCAGGGATTGTATTATGTAGGATTATTGTAGATTCTAGATGCTTTATGGAATAAATTTCATTTAAACTTCTAAGACTTAGTATACTTGAGATAAAGCATGTACCTGATGGACATGGATAAAGGGGAGGAGAGGCATGAAAAAAATATTGTTTAGAATAAACTTCAGCTCTCTGGATTAGAGAGGTTTTGTATGACCACTAAAGTAAGTTTGGCCCAGCTGACGTGGCTCAGTGGTTGAGTGTTGACCTATGATCCAGGGGGTCATGGTTCAATTCCTGGTCACTGCACACACTTGGGTTGCAGACTCGATCCCCAGTGGGGAGCATGCAGAAGGCAGCCAATCAATGATTCTCTCTCATCATTGATGTTACTCTCTCCCTCTCCATTCCTCTCTGAAATCAATAAAAATATATTTAGAAAAAGAAAGGAAGAAGTTTGAATGTCCACAATATGCCTAGTCACAGTATAATCCAAACAGAGTAAGACAGCCCGGCTAGTGTGGCTCTGTGGTTTAGCATCGACCTATGAATCAAGAGATCACGGTTGGATTCCTGGTCAGGGCATATGACCAGATTGTGGGCTCAATTCCCAGTAGGGGGCATGCAGTAGGCAGCCTATCGCTTCTCATCATTGATTTCTCTCTCTTTCTCCCCCGCCTCCCCTCTACCTTCTTTTTTCTGAAATCAATAAAAACATATTAAAAAAAAACACCTAGAAGGAAAAACACTTCTGTAGCCTCCACTTGGTCACAAAACTAACTTGTATATTGTGTGTGGTGAGAGGATGGCATATGCGGAAGACAGAGAACTGAGGGGAAAAAATGAGAAATAAAGGTATGAAACTTTGTTAGAAGAGTCACTTAATATAATAGTACAAAAGCACATTATTCAGGTGTTACATGTGCAAACTGATTTTATTTTCCAATGATTATTTTGTTAAGTGAACTTTAAAAGCATTTAGTATATGTCAACATTATGGTCAAAGAAAGGCACATACTGTGGACATTAACAACCATAACTGAATAGAGTATTTCACACTTGAAAAGAACATTTCTGGCCCTGTCCACTTGGTTGGGCATTCTCTCAAGTAGCTAGAGGTTGCTGGTTTGATTCCTGGTCAGGACACAGGTTTTGGGCTCGATTCCCAAAGGGGCGTGCAGAGGCAGCCAATCGATGTTCCGATTTTACATTGTTTTTCTTTCTCTTTCCCCCTTCCCTTCCTCTCTCTCTAAAAATCAGTAAAAATATTTGTAGTACATTTTTTTTATATATATTTTATTGATTTTTTACAGAGAGGAAGGGAGAGAGATAGAGAGTTAGAAACATCGATGAGAGAGGAACATCGATCCGCTGCCTCCTGCACATCTCCTACTGGGGATGTGCCTGCAACCCAGGTACATGCCCTTGACCGGAATCGAACCTGGGACCTTCCAATCGCAGGCCGACGCTCTATCCACTGAGCCAATCCGGTTTCGGCTGTAGTACATTTTTATTGATCAAAGAGAGGAAGGGAGAGGGAGCGAAAGATGGAAAAATGAGAATCTTTGACTGGCTGCCTGCTACACACCCTAGTGGGGATTGAGTTCACAACTTGGGCCAGGAATCAAACCATGACTTCCCCATTCGTAGGCCAAGGCTCAACCACTGAGTAACACCAGCTAGGCAATAAAAAAGATTTTTAAAAATATTTCTGATAAGAAGCAGGGGGAGCCCAGGCGGTTTGACTCAGTGGATAGAGAGTCAGCCTGCACACTGAAGGGTCACAGATTCAATTCTTGTAAAGGGCGTGTACTCTGGTTGGGAAACCTTTGGGAGGCAACCATTTAATGTCTCTTTCTCTCTCTGTCTCTCATCGATGTTTTCCCGTATCTCCCTCTCCTACTCTTTCTAAAAATCAATGGGAAAATATCCTCAGGTGAGGTTTAACAAAACAAAACAATATTATTTTGTTGTCCACACTTCTTGGAGCTGGTGCACTTCCACAGAGCAGACACATTCTAGTATATTGTTGTTTAATCTGCACAATAGGTATGCGTTGTTAAATACAGTTAGCTTCACAGTGCAGATTCAGAATCTTAAAGAAGTTAGATTTCTTCCTTGACATGAAAATTCACAAGATACAATTTTATGCAGGGGGAAGAGTATAAAATTCATTCAATACAAGTTTTACCAAATTATATTTTGGTTAATCACTCATTTTGAGCTATTATAATAAATCTACTTCTTTCAATGTATTACTTCATGTATCTTTTTAAAGTTATCCATCATTCAAAAAATATTTACTGGATGCCTACTGCATTGTTCTAAGATTGTGTTGCAATTACACGGGTGGGCAAGAGTATGTTTATAGTTTTAAGGGAAACACAGTTTATTCTTATATTGATACTTATTAATTACTATATTTTCCACACAAACAATTGTAAACCTACTTTTGACCAACCCATATATTCCAGATATGTGGGCAATAAAAATAGGTGAGGTAGTAAAAAAAGAAATGGAGTGTCTTTGGAGGACTTAAACAGAGCTGACAAGATTTATTTCACTTATACAAATCGTTTAAATACTTTTGTCAGCAAAGGTAACCAGCTTGCATTAACCAACCAATGAACAGAACAGTATCATCACTTGATGCTTATCCTTCTACTCTGGATGTGAGAAACTCACATTGTAAATAGCTCACACACCTGTCCTCTTTGTTTACTAATGCCTTAGTTTTTTAGTGCTTTAAGCAGAATAACTGAAAGGCTAAGAAGCACTTAGGGGCATCTAAAACATATAAGGTTTTGTTTTTTTTAAAAAAAAGTTTGTATTGATTTCAGAGAGAAGAGCGAGAGATAGAAACACCAATGATGAGACAGAATCATTGATTGGCTGCCTCCTGCAGCCCCCTACTAGGGATTGAGCCCGTAACCCAGGCATATGCCCTTGACCAGAATCAAACCCGGGACCCTTCAGTCTGCAGGCCGACTTTCTATCCACTGAGCCAAACCAGGTAAGGCAGGTTTTTCTTTTATAAAGACAAATGTTCCAGTTTAGAGGGAAAAGTTCTTGGGAAATAGTTACTCATTAGAATTAAGAGTACTTAGAATGTTTCAAAAAAATGTCATCTGAACAAGAGGAATACTAGAATTTCAATAAAAATGAGAAAGGGCATTCTAGGTGGGAATAAATTCATGAGAAAGAGTCAAGAATAAGAATGAGAATGGCAAGTGAAGAATTAAGAAAGATAAAGTACACCATGTTTTCCCACCTTTCACAGATAGAAAACAGTTATCAGTAGCTAGTAAAAATTGTACAGAAAGGCTTCAAAAAGCCCCCAAATATGAAATCCATAAGTCAAAGAAAAGTGTTATCATGTCCTTTTCCTCTTGAAGGCTGTGAGGGCCCCTTTCAAGCTTTTTGTGATCAGTTACCAAGGGTAGTAAGTACTAACTCATAGAAAGTCCAGATTGAGGCATAAAGTAAACATTTTATTTTTAATATGTTTTTATTGATATTTTTAGAGAGAGGGAGAAAGAGAGAAGGGGAGAGAGAGAGCAACACTGATATGAGGAACAGCGATCAGCTGCTTCCCGTTTGCACTCTGACAGGGCATTTTCATATGTGCCCTGACCAGCAATCGAAATGGTAATAGTGACCTTTCAGTGCACAGTTCACAGTACACACTGGCCAGGGCTAAACTAAACATTTTAGTTTCCCTTACTAACCCACCATGAACCTCTCATTCAAAAATGTATCCAGCCGAAACCGGTTTGGCTCAGTGGATAGAGCGTCGGCCTGCGGACTGAAAGGTCCCAGGTTCGATTCCGGTCAAGGGCATGTACCTGGGTTGCGGGCACATCTCCAGTGGGGAGTGTGCAGGAGGCAGCTGGTCGATGTTTCTCTCTCATCGATGTTTCTAACTATCTCTCTCCTTTCCTCTCTGTAAAAACTCAATAAAATATATTAAAAAAAAAACATTCCTATAAAAAAAACAAAACAAAAAAACAAAACAAAAATGTATCCAATTATTTAACCTACTTACATTTTCAACACCTCTTAGAATGTTTCTTAGATGCACCACCCAAACTGATTTAAAAAAAAAAAAATATCCTGTCACATATTTACCCTGAGCTTCTAAAGATTTTAAAGAAATACTCTGGCCCTAGCTGGTTTAGCTCAGTATTTAGAGCATTAGCCTGCAGATTGAAGGGTCCCGGTTTCAATTCTGGTCAAGAGCACATGCCCAGGTTGCAGGCTCAATCCCCAGTAGGAAGCGTGCAGGAGGCAGCCAATAAGTGATTCTCTCTCATTATTGGTGTCTCTATCTCTCTCTTCCTTCCTCTCTGAAATCAATAAAAATTAAAAAATAATTTTAAGAAGCTAACTTTGCTTTTAAAAAAAAAGTGCACACAAATGCCAATTAAAAAAAAGAAAGAAATACTCTGGCCCAGCCGGTGTGGTTCAATGGTTGAAAGTCGACCTATGAACCAGGAGGTCAGGTCACATGCCCAGGTGGTGGGCTGATCCCCAGTAGCGGGCATGCAGGAGGCAGCCAATCATTGATGTTTCTATCTCTCCCTTCCTCTCTGAAATCAAAAAAATAAAAAAAATTTAAAAATAAAGAAATATTCTGAAATGTTTTAAGTTTTCCCCCTAACTCCAGGGCACTGTTTATATAATTTTACTTTGATAAAACTATAGTGCATGCGTATCTTCTGAACAGTTTCTTCTCAAAAGATACTGCTTGAACTTGAACTACAAAAATATTAAGTGTACTAATCTATTAATTCTCGTTCATTTTTAAAAAGCATTTTATCTATAACACCCATATTTGGAAAAAAAAACCGGCTTCACTGCTTAACTTGTATTATACCTACCTTTTGGGATTCTTGCTATGTGATCGAGACCTAAAAAAAAAAACAAAAACAAAAAAATCTATTTTTAGAAAAGTAACTATAAATGGGAGTAAGTATGCTGGGCTGTTAAAAATTACATTCTTCCTGATTTGTAATTTTTATGTTAATTTTATAAATATAAGGCATGTGTATGCACAGAAAATTTTTCAAAATACACCACACCACAAACTCTACAGACTTCCCCACCTTGGCATATGAATTCTCTTAACTAAGAAACCTGGTTCTTAACACAGTACATCACAACTCACTAATTCTCCAGAAACCACCTACTTTCCAACCCTGGAAAAATTCACTGTCATTTCTTCCTTCCCTCTGGGAACAGAATAAAATTTCTATGATCTGAGATGTATACACTTTGGATCTGCAAACTCATACTATAATCTCTAGAACACCCAAATCAATCTTATAACATGTTCCCCCCCCTTCCTTTCTCCCCACCAAAGGGTATGTTTTATTGTTTTTTGAGAGAGAGGAAGGGGTAGAGAAAGAAACATCAATATGAAAGAAACACTGATCAGCTGCCTCCTGCATGCGCCCCAACTGGGGATTGAACTGGAAACCTTTTGGTATACAAGATGACACACCAACCAAGCCACCGGGCCAGGAGGCACAACATGACACATAAAACACTCTTACATTTCCTAGCACACAATTAACACTCAATAGATAGTAATAGCCAATATTACAGTTTTTTTGTGGAGACTTTAAAATGGTGGAAGCATGGTTTTGGAATCAGCCTGATGTTTCAACTCTGGTTCCACCACTCGTCATCTGTGTGACCTTGGCAGACATATATATTCCCCTCAGCTTAGTTTGTCATTTGTAAAAGAGGGATAGTGTTATCAATTTCACAGGGGGTTGTAAAAATTAGATGAACTGCTAGAGATAAATTCTTAGCACAGTGCCTGGAAATAGCGCTCGTAAGTAATAGTAATTTTTATCATTACCCTTTTCAGTACCACAGCTGGAATCCTATGCGGTATAATTTTGAACTCACTTGCAATTTCCTCATCTTCCATACTTAGCTATAATACTTAAGTTCATATATAGATTAAAATTTTTAAAAAAGCATTACTGAAATACATTGCGTTTATAATTATTGTTTAAAAGAATTTGTCAAGTGGCAACAGAGAAGATGCAATGTACTTTCTTGTCATCTACAAATGTGAAAATGTACTTCAGCAAAGAATATTTTTTTTCTCATTTCATTTACCTCCGTTGAATCATTTATATTAGTGGCACTACATTCAGTTGAATTTTAAGTTAAACTGAGATTTCTAATGCCATTTATATTATTTTAAATATTACAATATTGGGCAATATCACCATCTGAGTACACAAAAGAGAATAGAGCTAAAGCTCTGAGGTGAACTTTATGGTAAATGAAGAACATATACATCAATGGAGGAATGACAGCACTTCCCCAAAGAGGAAGATGGCCTGGCCATCATGGCTCAGTGGCTTAGTGTCAACCTATGAACCAGGAGGTCATGGTTTGATTCTCAGTCATAGCACATGCCCAGGGCTGCAGACTCAATCACCATCACTGATCGCAGCAGGAGACAGCCAATCAATGATTCTCTCTCATCACTGATGTTTCCTATCTTTCTCCCTCTATAAAATCAATAAAAATATTAAAAAAAAAAAGCTTGGAGAAAGTTGGCATGACCTATACATGTTATCAAGGGTAAGGCATTTAAATTTCAGAGATGTGTAATACAATTAAGGGAACACTATAAATTAGAACTACAGGTGAATCTTTTGTGGCATACCTGCCCATCCTAAAATTGTTGAAGTTATGAACAACACATACAAAGAATGTTGCCACCAGAGTGCCAAGCAGTTTGTTGATAATGAGTAAAAGTAACCCAGAACATTTAAACATTGTAAATATGAAGATTTATATGATTCTATCAACCAATACCAATATAAAAATAACTATTAATACCAATTAAAAATAATTTATTATTGAATAAACATTTTAAAAGTTTATAGCCCCTAGAATAGAGTGTAGAATGAAAGTAAATTTAATCAATAAAACAAAAAACCCAAACGTTTTATCAAGCATAAAATGTATCATAAAAATAGCTCCATGCCAACCTGGTACAAATCTATTCCATCATGAAAATCAGGGGGCTAGAAAAGAGTTTTACACAGCTTACAAAACAAAGATGTGACTCTCTCTTTATTACTTCTTTAATACACTTTAAAGGAAAAAAGGGCCTTGACTTTAATGGCCATTACGTTAACATACTTGCACAAACACTTTTTGCATGGTAGCATTTTAAAGAGTAAACAAGATTTCCCATGTCTACTTTGCTAACATCTAAAATCTTATACCAATCACATCTCAAAGTTGAAACAGAATTTTCAACTTCAAATACTTGGACTATTCAATTCATCACTCCATACCTCCTCAACTTTTCCCTTTCTTCTCTCTCCCTTTCTTCTCTTCGCTTCAGGCGTTCCTGGTTTCTTTTCTCCTGCTTCTCAGCTACCACTCTCTTAAAAGACAAAAAAAAACAACTAAGTTTAAATAATAATAAATGAGAAGCATTATTTATTGGGTCCATTCTTAATGAGCATTATCCTAAACTTTCGCCAGATCTGGTTTCCAATATTGTACAAGTAACATCAAAATCTGCTAATAACAATTCAATTTTGATAAGGAAAATCATTGGACTTACAAGTCTGGTTTCTAAAATCTTTTATCTTTTTGTAAAATTTATAAAATTTCATGGTCCTCCATGACTACTTCTATTTTTTTTTAAATTTACTTATTGATTTTTAGAAAGACAGAGGCAGGAGAGAAAGTGAGGAGAGGGTGAGGAGAAGGGGAAGGGGTGAGGGAGGGGGAGGGAGGGAGAGGAAGGGAGAGGGAGGGAGAGGAAGAGAGAAACGCTGATTTGTTGTTCCACTATTTGTGCATTCTGGTTGCTTATTGTATATACCCTGATCAGGGATCGAACTCGCACCTTGGAGTATCAGGATGACACTCTAACAGAACTACCAGCTAGGGCAGGGGTGGGCAAACTTTTTGACTCGAGGGCCACAATGGGTTCTTAAACTGGACCGGAGGGCTGGAACAAAAGCATGGATGGAGTGTTTGTGTGAACTAATATAAATTCAAAGTAAACATCATTACATAAAAGGGTACGGTCTTTTTTTTTTTAAGTTTTATTCATTTCAAACAGGCCGGATCCGGCCCGCGGGCCGTAGTTTGCCCACGGCTGAGCTAGGGCCTTCATGACTTCTTAATATTTGAAAATTAGTTCTATAAATTTTTTCTCCTCTGAATACTTTTTGGCATTATTTTGTATTTTTTAAAAGAAATCAACCATTATAAATCACAAGTTCCCATGCTCTATGATTTCCAATATAGAAATGATCTCTGTCACTTCCAATTACCATCCTGATGCTGTTTTAAAAACAGCAAAATGCTAAACTGTTCTGTTGCTATGTCTATCTGCAAAGACTCCCAAGTAGGTATCATTTGCCATACTGAAACTCATTTCGTCATTTTTTTAAAACTTACCTGAGCGAGATCATCTTAGCTACTCAGAATACAGAGAGCCTCTATTAACTACAATACTCACCCACTCTGTTTATGTTTACCTCCTCAGATATACCTTTTGTTTGCTTATCCTCTCAAAAGAACTCAGCAGATGAGTAAGAACTTGTTGTCTTTCTCAGAACAGCTTACATATTTGACAGTGATTGTCCGTTTTTAAAAAATAGGTTTCATTCTAACTCCTTTCTGAAATGGAGGCAGGAGTGTAAAATAAAACCAGAGGTCTTACCAGACTGCTATGTAGTGAAGAACTGCAAAATATTTCAACTAAATATTTGGTTCATTTTCTCAAACTTCCTTTAGAGTAAATATTATATTATTTATTTTATAGGAAAAAGAGAAAAACTTAGGGGACTTTGTATAAAATAGTTTAAAACCAGTTTGCAAGATTCCTACTCCGTCATATTCAACTATTACCTCCAAGAATAGGGGAATAGTAATTAAAGGTCTGTCTCTCAAACATTATCCATTAAACCAATGGTATCTCCATTTGAAATCCTACACTATTCAGTATGAATTGTGAAAGGGACTCATGGTCAAGATTGCTATATGAAAAGACAACTAATACAGATCAAAAGAATGAGTGGTGCTGAAACCGGTTTGGCTCAGTGGATAGAGCATCAGCCTGCGGACTGAAAGATCCCAGGTTCGATCCCGGTCAAGGGCATGTACCTGGGTTGCGGGCACATCCCCAGTAGGAGATGTGCAGGAGGCGACTGATCGATGTTTCTCTCCCATCGATGTTTCTAACTCTCTATCTTTCTCCCTTCCTCTCTGTAAAAAATCAATATAATATATTTAAAAAAAAAAAGAATGAGTGGTTAAATTAGATAAAGTGATACTAATTTAACAATATACCTTTAATTCTTCAAGCTTCTCTCTTATTTCAATAAATCCCAGGTGCAGTTTACCCCCAAAATGATCAGCCAGTCGTCTGTCATTATCATGAAGACCTAAATAAGCAGAGCAGACTTCACAGACTCGAAGTTTCTGCTGTTGGAAACTGGAAGCTGGCATAGAATTCCGATACACTTCCTAGACAAAAGTGAAAAACAATGTTCATATAAACTTCATGGAACATCATACAATTAAACAAAATACACTTTTCTAAAGAACAAAATGTTTTCAATGAATACACAAAAGCATGGCATTTTGTCATGAAAATTCTAGATTCTCCATAACCCCCCATCCTCTGTCTCGGGATAAAAAAAAAAAAAAATTGGAGCCCCGAATACTTTTTACCAAGAACTACTGTATCTACCATGATACAGAACACAACTTTCTGAAACTTTTTCTCAATGTTCTGTTTTCTGTAATTTTTGTTAAAAATGAGATGTAGCAACCCCAAAACTTTATCAGTGAAGGATCAAGGAAGTAGAAGTCGCCCATGCTTGCAGAAAAGGCATGCACGTTTTCTATATCATTACAGCTTCTTTCCATTGCCTTCTTTCTTACACATCCCTTTGGAAATGTGGATGGGACATACAAATAATAAATTCCTACTAAAAGTAACAGTTTATAAGTGATGAAAAATGCCTTACTAAGATTTAAATATCTTATACCCAACCATTTTATTTATATTAAGTTCATTAATGAAGTAATTAATACTAGTGGGTTGGTATAACCACTGTATCATTTTTTCCTTATTGACAGAATTCTGATTTTTGTTTTGAGCATACACAGTTAAAAACATTTCCAAGCTTCTGTGTAGCTCTAAGAAAATATAGATATAAGCGGACATTGCTGGATATAATCTATAGGAAAGTTCTTTAAAAGGGAGTCAATACATTCAGACAAAAGTAACCAATAACCTGTGAATCAAAAAGTGATGGAAAACAGAATACTTACAGTTTCAAAATGTCAATACCAAACACTAACATAGTAACATCATAGTTATGGGACAAACCACTAACATGGGCCTTCTGACAGGATGTAACATTACTTTAGTGGTATTCCGGACAAAATCTAACAAAAATCAGACAAACCCAAACTGAAGGACATTTCACAAAACAAATATGTGATCAGCTCGTCTCTAGAGTACACAGTAAAAAGTGATCTCTTGAGCTTCTTGCATATTTTCCATTGCGTTTAGTGCAATACCATAAACATTAATAACATGGCACCCAAATGATTCTCTCTCATCATTGTTTCTCTTTCTCGTCCTCTCTCTAAAAGGGCCCCTACTGGGGATCGAACCTACAACCAGATATGTGCCCCTGACTGGAATCGAACCTGGGACCCTTCAGTCCACAGGCCGACACTCTATCCACTGAGCCAAACCAGCCAGGGCAGTATGCCATTAAAATTTTATGATGATTCATTAGTGTATAGGCTAGGCTACTATGACGCAATCTTATTGATTATACTAGGCCAGATATTTTCAACTGGTATGCTACAAAAAATTTTAAAACATGCAATACCTGACTATTTAGTCAGGGGCACTGACCTCTTTTCCCTTAGATTGCCAAGTAAAAAAAATGACAATAGCCCTAGCCAGTGTGACTGGGTTGGTTGAACTGTGGTTCCATACACCAAAGGGTGACAGGTTTGATTCCTGATCTCGGTACATACCCAGGTTGCAGTTCGACCCCACAGTTGGGGCTTGTAAGGGGGGCAATCAATTGATGTTTCTCTTATATAGATGTCTGTCTGGTCTCTCCCCTCTCCCTTCCTCTCTCTAAAAATAAAAAGGGCCGAAACCGGTTTGCCTCAGTGGATAGCGCGTCGGCCTGCGGACTGAGGGGTCCCAGGTTCGATTCCGGTCAAGGGCATGTACCTTAGTTGCGGGCACATCCCCAGCAGGGAGTGTGCAGGAGGCAGCTGGTCGATGTCTCTCTCTCGTCGATGTTTCTTACTCTCTATCTCTCTCCTTTCCTCTCTGTAAAAACTCAATAAAATATAAAAAATAAAATTTAAAAAAGGCTTTAATAAAAGACCTCAAAAATAAAACCCCCCAAAAAACCAGCCAACACAATAGCCATCGAGTGTAAATGAATTAAAATTATACAGATTGGCAAAAATTTACACATCGAGTGTAAATGAATTAAAATTATACAGATTGGTGTGCCATGGAATTTTAGTAATTAGTTTATGTGTGCCATCAGATGACTATTACTGCTTCTCCATTATTTTAGCATGAATTATTATTATATCTGTAAATAAACATAAATTTCTTTTTCACATTATCTTTTTCATTTCTGATGTCTAGTGGTAGTCATATGTTAAACAGCTATAGTATTTTATATCATGTAAGACAGTATTGATGTTGTTACTGAAGATGAAGCAGAAGACAAACTTACGATATCGATAAATACAGTGTAGTAGTATATTTTCATTTCACTACCTTACTTTATTGTAAGAATATTGTACATAATACTTAAACATCAAAATCTGTGTTAATCAACTGTTTTTGCTATCACAAACAGTTGGAAGAGGATGAAGAGGAAGGAGAGGAGAGGAGGACGGGAGAGGAGGGTGGGAGGGGAGGAGAGAAGAAATCACAAGCAATAATAGGTAAATATTTTTAATTGAATTACAATGAAAATCTGTGGGATGCAGCTATAGTTGTGCTTAAAAGAAAACATATAACATTAAATGGTCTAAAATCAATGACCTAAGCTTCTGCCCAAGTCTATAACAAATTAAACCCAGGTGTGATGCAGTTATAAGCAATGGAGACTACTGAAAAAGTGGAAAATATAATCTCATATGAAGGCATTCAATTTCTTAAAAAACAAAATAGAATTTTGGGCCAAACATAATAGAACTTTGTGTGCAGGATATCAGATTTTAACTGTGCTGTGGAGGAAGAGCTGAGGCTCCCAAGGTGCTAGCGGACTGCACTGAGGTAGGAAAAGAAGGGAGAATGCTATAGTTGCATGGATGTAAAATGGAGAATAGGGTATCATAGTAACATATGCAGTGTGTGTGCACGCACACACAGACACAAATGACTGCTGTATATGACTAGTTAGTTAATTTTATTTACCAGTTATAAATTTCATATCAATGGCTCCAAATTCCAAAAACCACTCATTTTGATATATAACCCATCAGTATGACATGGACTAATTACATATGTTCTGAGAAGTACATACTGCCCTGGCCAGTTTTGTTCAGTGGTTAGCTTGCCAGTCTGGGGGCCAAAAGTTCTTAGGTTCAATTCCAGGCCAAGGGCATGTTACCTTGGTTGCAGGTTCAATCCCTGGCCCTGGTCAGGGCTCAAGCAGGAGGCAAACAACCAATATGTTCCTCTTACATCAATGTTTCTCCTCTCCTCTCCCCTCCCCTTCTCTCTCCCCCTCTCTTCCACGCTCTCGAAAAAAAAAAATGGAAAAAATATCCTCACTCCTCCAGTGAGGATTAAAGAATAAATACAGATAATAAGGTTCTACAGACCAACATTAAGAATTTAGTTACCTCTGCTTCTCTTTTCTTTGCCCGTGCTTTCTCTACTTCATCCATTACTTTTTGAGATTCTTCCACATTTCCTTCAGCTCCTAGTTGTTCCACCTTAGCCAACAATTTACCAATTTCTTCATTTAACTCATGAACACGTTCTGCCTAGAAAGTAACAGAAAAAAAGATCATGAAGAAAAAGCTGACAAAGTATCAAAGTATTTCAGAAATGCTCAGAAGAGTTATTATATGAGGCAATATAATTATAAACAATGCTTTCTGCGCACATCATAAATTCGTGAGACATTAGGATGTTTTGAGCTTGCCTGCCTTCACTTCGGTGAAGTCAGGGATACATCTGATTTCTATATAAACTAGCACTTTGCAACCTCGGGTTTGGCAGTGTATTCCAAGTACAAAATACCTTTTCTTCTTGGGATGTCACCCCTTTACCTCACTTACTGGACTAGTGAATGTCTATTCACTGAACAAGATCCAACTGGAGTCTATTCTGTGAAACGTTCTTGATCAATCATTATATTTCACCTCCACTTACACACAAAAGCAGAGAGCCAAATCCTCTTTTGTGTTACTTTTGTATCTTTTACAATTACTTTTATATACACTGAGTGGCCAGATTATTATGATCGGCCAGATTATTATGACCACCCCATCAGTATTTCATTGATACTTCCAAAAATACTGAATATTGGAAACTTCCTAAGCAAATACTCTCAAGGTTTTATTATTATTATTATCTGCATAACTAATTCACTTCATTGTACTGATGGGGTGGTCATAATAATCTGGCCACTCAGTGTATATCATACCACATTAAAGATAGCTATATGTATTTCCCATCTTTGTATTTCCAATGTCCAACAAATAGCATTAGCTCAAATATGAGTTAAAGATATAAACCGGTGCTGATGAATTCTCTTTGAATCAAAGATATGACTTTAGATATCTGGCTTATGGGCAAATCAGTTACTAGGTGTACAATTTTGGTCATATTATTTCACCTGAATCTACTTCATCTGACTAGTAGGAATTAATATCTCACAAAGCTATGAGAAACAAGAAAATGTGCCTTGCACATACATTGCGCAGTACATTACTGATTTTTAGTATAATAGCATGACAACCCTTCTCCCTTAGTCCATGTCTTTTCACTGGGATTAATTTTTTCCTTGGGATTTGATATGTCTCCTCCTCCTCCTCTTCATCTTCAGCACCACCATCATCCTAGTTCATTCCTTTTCTTTTAATAGCACTTGATAGATACACATAGACTATTTTTTGGCCATAAGTAAGTATTTATTTATAATTGATTACATTATATTAGCAAATCAATTATATTAGCAAAGAAGGTTCTAATTTGATATGGACATCTGATCTCAATAAAATAAGACTTCTCAAATAATCTTTACTTCTCAAATTTCCTTCAATCCAAGATACTCACCCCTCAAAGAAATTTCCAACTCTATTATCATTACCTCCTTAACAAAGTGGTATTTTTCTTTGAATGATTGCATTAATGCCCCAAACTCTTCATCCTTCCCTGTACCCATGCCCTTCACTATTTTATCAAGTATCATCATATTCTGAATCTGAACTTGGCCACATAGTTAACTGGCTTTGGTTAACAGGACGGTAGCAAACATGACACAAGGAATGGCTTAGAAAGTGCTTATATGAATGAGCTTTTGTACCTCAACTCTCACCGTGAGAAATTAGTTCAGTAACCTCCAGCTGATTGGAAGACAAGGAAGAGGGCCCCGCTAAGACAGGAATAAATACCCAGTCAAGTTCAGCCTAAATCAGTAGTCAATGAGCTAAATAAATACTTACTGTTTCCAGTCCCTGAATTTTGAGGTAGTTTGTTAAACTTCATTTTGGTAGTGATGGATAACCAATACAACTTGGGGTCTAGCCAGCAATTTTGGATCCCTTTCAACCATGATCCCTTGTACTTTAGTATGTCCATCTTTATAATCCTGATCTTCAGAGCACTTTTCAGAAGTTGGTTGAAAGTAACCTTTTCACAAATAAGGGAATCCACTTCCCTTTGTACATACATATCTAAGCACTATAATAGTACTTAATGCTGTCATGTAAATCCTACCTGGATAACTATTGCATTCTGCATTTTCATAAAATGTACCACACTACATGGAATGGTACAGAATGTTATAAAAAGTAAGTCATCAAACCAACAATATGCAATACATGGACCTTTTCTGAATTCTGATTATATAGAAAAAATAAACACTGTTTATTAAGTAATTTTTAAATCTTGTTAACTTCATGGATATGACTCTGTGGTTATATTTTAGAGGTGAAATGATACGACACTTAGAAGTTGCGTATCTATATAATAACAGCCTAAATGGCCAGGAGCTGCCCCCTGGTTGTCAGTGAGCCCCCACCAGGGGAGCGCTGCTCAGCCAGAAGCCAGGCTCATGGCTGGGGAGCGCAGCGGCAGCAGCGCTAAGGAGCAGCGAGAAGGCAGGCGGTAAGGAGCAAGGGGTCCTGGACTGCAAGAGGGATGTCCGACTGCCAGCTTAGTGGGGAGCAGGCCTAATCTGGCAGGCGGACATCCCCCAAGGGGTCCTGGACTGCAAGAGAGCACAGGTCTGGCTGAGGGAGCCCCTAGTGCATGAATTTTGTGCACTGGGCCTCTAGTAAAATAATGAAACAACAGAAAGCTGACAGCTTTGAATCCATTAGGATTTGTTGTATTTTTCTCTAGTTTTGTGTATAAGTTCACAACAAAATATTTTTTTAAAATAGAGAGTTGCCCTGGTAGATGTAGCTCAGTTGGTTGAGGCTTGTACTGTGCACCAAAGGTTACCGGTTCGATTCCAGGTCAAGGCACATACCCAGGTTTCTGGTTTGATCCCCAGTTGGAGTGCATGCTGAAGGCAGCCAATCGATATTTCTCACATCAATGTTTTTCTCTCCCCCTACCTTCCCTTCTCTCTCGAAAACCAATAAAAATGTATTAAAAAAAGAAAAGAAAAAAAGTAGTGAGTAGACAAAACTCAACATTTAAAAAAATGAACATTCTTGCCCTAGCCTGTGTGGCTCAGTTGGATGAGTGTTGTCCCATGCACCAAAAGGAGACCGTTTTGATTCCCAGCTAGGGCACATGCCCAGGTTGCGGGTTCAACGGGAGGCAACAGATTTATCTATCTCTCTTACATTGATAATTCTCTCCTTCTCCTTTCCTCTCTTTAAAATCAATAAAAACATATTTATAAAAAAGAATGAACATTCCATTTGGAAAATGGGCATAAGACATGCACATATATTTCACCGAAGAGAATATTCATATGGCAAATAAGCACATGAAAATAATGTACAAAGTCATTACTCATTAGGGAAATTGAAACCACAATGAGATGTAGTAACACACCTTTCAGAATGGATAAAATAGTGACATCATCAAAATGCTGGCACAAATGTAAACAAAGTAGATCACTAACACACTGCTGGTAGGAATGTAAAATGGTACAGCCACTCTAGAAAAAAAGTTTGGTATTTGCTTCCAAAACTAAAAATGTCCTTACCATATGACCTAGCAATTGCAGTCTTGGTTATTTATCCCAGAGAAATAAAAACTTATGTCCACACAAAAATCTGTACATGAATGTTTATTGCAGCTTTATTGGTATTAGCCAGTACTAGAAACAACCCAAATGTCCCCTTCAATATGTGAGTGGTTAATATATCCCTAACCCTAACCCTAACCCTAATCCATACCATGGATAATACTCAAATAAAAAGGAATGAACTACTGATACAACAACTTGTATGAATCTCAAGTTGTGTTGAGTATAAAAAGCCAATCTTAAGAGGATACATACTGCATGATTCCATTTATGTGATATTAGGTGAAATAATCCTATATAATAAAAGGCTAATATGCAAATAGAGCAAAAAATGGAACAACCAAACAACCGGTTGCTATGACATGCACTGACGGGGGTGGGGGAGGACGTAACATGCAGGTATCGGCAGCAGGCATCAGAGCGCGAAACATGGTGGGCGTTGGCTGCAGCGGGATGGTCAAGCAGGTGAGCAGGGGCGCCAGACCAAGGCGCAGTCGCTGTCAGGGTGAGCCTCTGGGTGGTTACTGAAAATTCTTTGCTCCTGCACACCGTGGTCCCACCCAGTGCTCACACCTGCTGCCGGCCCCGACCCCACTCGCTCCCACTGCCGGTGCCGATTGCTAGGAGCCGGCAGCGGGTGTGAGCGGCGGTTGCTGACCCCGATCACCCCTCAGGGCTTCTCCACCTCCCCCTGATCCTGAGGGATGATGGGGCAGCAGCCGCCGCTCAAACCCACTGACAGTGCCAACCCTGCTCACAGCCGCTGCTGGCACCAGTCTCATTGGCTCCGCACCTTCAGCAGGTGCCAGTGGGGCCGGTGCTGTCAGCAGCGGGAATGGCGGGAGCAGGACTGCCAGCAGACAGGGGACCAGGGGCTGCAGCGGAAGGGGCGGGAGAAGGGGTAGAGCACATGGAGGATAGGCCGAGATCCGCCCCTGTGCCCACCACAATCTCTCAGCCCACAGTTCCTTTTAAGGTGCACGAATTTGTGCACAGGGCCCCTAGTATAATTATCAAGACAGAAAATAAGTTAGTGGCTGCCAGGGGCTAGAGGAAAGGGTGGTGTGGCTTATAAAGGGGTAACATGAGGGAGCCTTGTGATGATAATGCTACAGTTAATGTAATTATTATAATATATTTACCCAATTTGCACGTGATAAAACTGCATAGAGCCACACACACAAAAAACAAGTAAATGCATGCATTAACTGGTGAAATCTGAATAAAATACAAAGACTGGACCAAAATTAATTTATTGCCTTTGACATTGTACTGGTTATGTAAGATACCTTAACATAAGGGGAAGCTAGAGGAAGAGTACATAGAATTTCCTGTTTGTCTTTGCAAGTTTCTGTGAATGTAATTTTTCAAATTAAAAGGTAAAATTATATTCTGTACTATTAAAAAGATTGACGCCCTAGCCGGTTTGACTCAGTGGAGCGTTGGCCTGCGGACTGAAGGGTTACAGGTTCGATTCCAGCCAAGGGCACATGCCTGGTTTGTGGGCTCGATTCCCAGTGGGGGGGCATGTGGGAGGCAGCCGATCGATGATTCTCTCTTATCACTGACGTTTCTATCTCTCCCTCTCCCTTCCTTTCTGAAATCAGGAAAGATATTTTTTAAAAAAAGATTGAAATTGTTACCTTTGCTGCCACTTCAGCACTAATCTCTTCTTGAGTTTCTGCTAATCTTTTCTTGGCCACTTCTGTTCTTCGATCACAATCGGCAATAAATGACTGCAGATGATCCATAGCCTACAAAGTTCAATTAAAAGACAATTATTTCCAGAAAAATCAACTTTCTTCAGAAATATCTTTACTCAAAACTTACACTTTTAAGCCAATAAGACATATCCGTGGGTGAGCAATTTTAAAGTGATCAAGAATCTCACTTCCTTTCCAGCTGACAGCAGTGCTTATATTTCCATTTTATATATATATATATATATAGGCCCAGTGCATGAAATTGGTGCACTCAGGGGCAGGTGGGGTCCCTCAGCCCAGCCTGCACCCTTTCACAGTCCGGGAGCCCTCGGGGAATGTCCGACTGACGGCTTAGGCCTGTCAGTCAGACATCCTTAGTGCTGCCGCGGAGGCAGGAGAGGCTGCTGCCATCACCGCTGTACTTGCCAGCCGTGAGCCCAGCTTTTGGCTGAGCAGTGCTCCTCCTGTGGGAACACAATGACCACCAGGGGGCAGCTCCTGCATTGAGCATCTGCCGCCTGGCAGTCAGCGTGCATCATAGCAATCAGTCATTCTGTCGTCTGGTCAATTTGCATATTAGCTTTTTATTATATAGGACATATATGTATGTACGTATAATTTAAATTATAAGGGTTTTATTTAAAAATATAAATTTACTCAGCACATATCAAATTCTAAAAATGGTTGGTTAACCCAAAAATTTCTTGAAAGTGAAAAGCAGAAAAGAAACTAGAAGAAAATGATAGAGAACTCATCACCTCAGAATAGGGAAGGCCTTTCTAATTAATCCAATAGAGATTTTGAAAAGATTAATTAGATAACAATAAAAATATTCTGCAAGGCCCATAACTACCAAAAGAAAAACAGGGGGAGGGGGTGCAAAGTATTATCTGAGGGAAGGACTAATTTTCATGTCAAGTTAGTACAAATCAACTAAAAATAAATGTTGACATCAAAGATTAGCCAATAGCCAAAAAAAAAAATTGTAAACTGACAGTTCACTAAAAAGGAAATATAAACTTCTTAAATATATGAAATATGTTCAAACCCACTCATAAGAGAAATGAGGGTTAAAACTACACTTACGTTACACATTTCATGTAAGTTGCAAACAAATCTTGAAAACACACTATGTGGTCAGATGGGAAATAGATAATCTCATATATTATTGGTGGGAGTATAAATTGATAATTCTAATGAAGAGCAACTTGGCAAAATTACTCTCTGACTCAGTTATTGTATTTCTAGGAACTTACTCTATACACTTGGTAAGTAAATATACATTATCATACTATAACAGAGAAAGACTGAAAATAACCTAATTTTTCACACCCTTACATCTAGATGATAGAAAATTTCTGCTGTATTTTATGCCCAATGTGTATAAATCATAACCCAATCACACACTTTTAAGTCAGAATACGGTGATTCCCCAAAATGTTCCAGCCATGTATTAAATTGCATTTACATAGATGGTTTTTATTTCCATTAACAGAAATTCTTGGAAATTCAGAAGTAAATGGGGGGAGAGGGGGTCTACTGTACTGCTTTATCTCCCAAACCAAATAAAATGCCTATCTCCTCACTTACAAAAGGTAGCATAAGATTTATGCTTATCAGTATGTTTTATGTAATGCTGATTGGTATATTTTCTTTAAGTATAAAAAAAGTTTCCCTATTTTTATACAATTCTCATGTTTGTTTAAAAAAACAGTGCTCACATATATTAAAACTAGAACCATACAGAGATTAGCACGATTCCTGTGCAAGGATGACATGCAAATTCATGAAGTATTCCAAATTTTTAAAAAAGAAAAAATATTAAAAACACACACACACAATAGTCAGATTTTGAGCCATTCAGATATCTAAATGGTATCTCCTCTAATAATTCTTCCGTTTTACATTAAAAAACAGCATTGTCCTTAATACTCTCCCTCTCTATGTGTATATTTACAGGTACAAAAATATGAATATTGCTCAGCCAGCACGGCTCAGTGGTTGAGCAGTGACCTATGAACCAGGAGGTCCTGGTTTGATTTTGGTCAGGGAACATGCCTGGGTTGCAGGCTCAATCCCCAGTGTGGGGAGTGCAGGAGGCGGCCAATCAATGATTCTCTCTCACCATTGATGTATCTGTCTCCCTCTCCCTCTCCTTTCCTCTCTGAAATAAATAACAATTTTAAAAAACAGTAACAATATGATGAATATAAAAAGCCTTACATGCACTAGAAATTGGTTTATATTTGTTTAAATTGATACCATCCTTAATCATTACTACTTTGAGAAAAATTTGCTTAATTTTCAGAAGAATATAGGGTGTACTAAAAAAATGTATATACACACTTTGAATAATAATAAAGGCAGGGTTTATTAAAATACATTTCATTTTTGCCCTAGCTGTTTTGGCTCAGTGGTTGGAGCAACAACCCACGGACTAAAGGGTCCCAGGTTTGATTCTGGTCAAGGCTCAACCCCCGGTGTTGCTCAGTAGTTGAGAGTCAACCTATGAACCAGGAGTGTAGAGAGCACCTGGGAAAGGCCCCTGAGCTGATTGTCATCTGAATCCAGTGGTGCCCAGCAGAGCCATGCCCTGGAAACATACCTTGCCAGAGGCAGGTGTGTTGTCAGCCTGACCTTCAGCTCAGGCACCAACAGGTGGGTTTCATTATCTAAATCCAGCCAAGCACCAGGAACAGGATTATCCGGGTCCACCCAGAAGTGATGATTACAAAGAAGCCACAAGAATGCACATAATCTCCTTTGTCTTGGGCTTTAGTAAAACTTCCTGGTAAGGGCCACTGTCTCTCTATCACAGGACAGCTGTCCCACCCAGCCCCAGCTTTTTCCTTCTGTCTTTGTCTCTATCATTTTCTCAATCCCCAGCCGCATCTACTCAGGAACCAGACCGCTCTCTAGCCGTGCTGGATGTGGGAAAAAAGAGAAATATTTATACAGGAGGTCACGGTTAGAGTCCCATTCAGGGTGCATGCCTGGGTTACAGGCTTGATCCCCAATGTGGGGCGTGTGGGGAGGTAGCCAATCAGTGATTCTCTCTCATCATGACGTTTCTGTCTCTCTCTCCCTCTCCCTTTCTCTCTGAAACAAATAAAAATATATTAACAACAACAAAAAACATTTCATTTTCAAAACTGAGCTATCAAGCTATGTGCATACACATTTTTTGAGACATCCTGTATATAAATTATATGACTTTACATATTTCCTTAAAATATACAGTTTCATCTTATATTTTCTAAAACTGTTAGTCAGGAAGTACATGATCTCACTTTATTTTAGTACTACCCTTCATATAACCACGAAGAATATAATTTGCTAAGAGCCTTTCCCCATTAAGAGATAAATCCATACTCAAGATGTTGTATTGTGACAGATAATGTAACTCATTAAAATAAAATCACATACATCAAGCTCAAAGAAGAAATCTTGTTCTTTGGATGCAATTTCATAATCTGCTCTTAAAGCCAGGTCATGGACTTTCAGACATTCTCCAAGATCCATTCTCTAAGAAGAAAAAAAAAGGGGGGAGGACACATTAAACAGAAAACACACTTTTTAACAATTCATTAATAACCACAGTACTCCATAAAATATATGTTAAGTCATACAAATGCTTCTTTGTTTATGGACTTTCAAATTACAAAATTTCATAAACAAGTATAAACTTGGCGCCAAAAAGAAAAAAAAGGGAAAAAAAGGACAACAATTCTATCTACCAATAGGTGAGAAAAGTTATCACTTTTGTACTTAAGAACAGACTGACAAGGAAAAGCTGTCTGAATCTAAACAAAGCTGGGGGAAAAAAGCTCCTAGCAACAACATGGGTATGTTTATAACACAAGGATATCAATTTTCTAATCAATTTTCTATATTATGTCATGTTCAAAAAGAGTGATGGACCAGATAAAATTTAAAAACAATATGAAGTCCTACAGCTATATCTAAGAAGACAAATTTACAAATAACTAGGTATGAGCAGAAAATTAGACAAATTAAAAAACTTACTTGTCAAGATTAAGGGTTACAGTGTGGCATGGCTGAGATAAATTAACTTACAGGGTATAGTCCAAACAACGTGACAAATCTTACTAAAGGCTGGTTTTAAAAGCAAACCCTCTCTCCTCCAAAAGACACATTTTGTGTGCTAACGCATTTCAAAAGGGATCTAAATAAACCATCAAAATGTCTCAAAACGAAGCCATAACAAAAAGCAAAAATAAAGAAATAATTAACTGGCCCTAGCCGGTTTGGCTCAGTAGATAGAGCGCTGGCCTGTGGACAAAAGGGCCCTGGGTTCAATTCTGGCCAAGGGCACATGCCCGGGTTGCCAGCTTGATCCCCGGTAGCGGGGCATGCAGAGGGTGGCCGATCAATGATTCTCTCTCTCCCCTCCATTCCTCTCGGAAAGGGAGGGGAGGGGAGGGGAGGGGAAGAGGAGAGGGAAAGGGAGGGGAGGAAGGAAGGAAGAAAATTAGCTGGTGAAGAATCATGATGTTTAGAACTTTTCAGTATGAAATAGAAATAGATTTTATTATGGCCCCAAAGGACTCTATAGTGTCTTTTTTTTTTAATTGCTTAAAGTATTACAAAGGGTATTACATATGTGTCCATTTCCCCCCCCACCCTAGACAGTCCCCTAGCCTCCCCTATCCCCCAGTGTCTTATGTCCATTGGTTATGCTTATATGCATGCATACAAGTCCTTTGGTTGATCTCTTCCCCCCCTACCTCCTGTCCCCCAACCCTCCCCGGCCTTCCCGCTGCAGTTTTACAATCTGTTTGAGGCAGCTCTGCCTCTGTATCTATTATTGTTCAAAAGTTTATGATGGTCTCTATTATCCATGACCAGTGAGATCATGTGGTATTTTTCCTTCATTGACTGGCTTATTTCACTTAGCATAATGCTCTCCAGTTCCATCCATGCCGTTGCAAATGGTAAGAGTTCCTTCCTTTTTAGAGCAGCATAGTATTCCATCGTGTAGATGTACCACAGTTTTCTAATCCATTCATCTACTGATGGGCACTTAGGCTGTTTCCAGATCTTAGCTATGGTGAATTGTGCTGCTATGAACATAGGGGTGCATATATCCTTTCTGATTGGTGTTTCTTATTTTAACTCTTTCATTGTAAGAAAACATTTAAGCTTCCTCAGGAGTTACTGAGCTACCAGATAAATGAGAGATTCAAATACAGTTCAGAAAACCATTTTTCTAGGATATTGCGGAAAGAATTCAACCATCAAGTAACTTATTCTTCCAACTCTTGAGATTTTTATGACTATATTAAAAAAGTTTCTCTGTAGAACTATATTATCTTAATTCTTAATTAGTTGAAGGAACAAATGTGAAAACCTAAGTAAACAATGTCCTCAAAGCTATCCTTTGGGAAATTATAAGGAATATTCACAATATTAAAAGTCATTACAATAATGGCTCTAAAGCAGTGGTCAGCAAATTTATTAGTCAACAGAGCCAAATATCAACAGTACAACTACTGGAATTTCTTTTGAGAGCCAAATTTTTTAAACTTAAACTATATAGGTAGGTACATTGTTATTAACTTAATTAGGGTACTCCTAAGCTGGCCTTTGCTAAAAACATCCTCAATTTGATTGAGGTACGTTGGCTGAGGTCGACCCCTTCCAACGCTCCCATCCACACTCGTCTTGTATACTTGTTTCAGATAGACGAGTGTGGATGGGAGCGTTGGAAGGGGTCCATCTCAGCAAACACGTACCTCAAAACAATGTACCTCCCCGACGCTGCATATCCCGTGGCCCGCCTGTGCCAAGTCTCCAGTCGCCAGACCGACCGACACCCCCACTTCTTCTAACACCACTTCTTCAAAACAGACTCGCCCAGGCCAAAAACCAACTTCTGCGCATGGGCCACGAAGTTTCAATCGCACTGTATATGCGCACCCACACGTGGTATTTTGTGGAAGAGCCACACTCAAAGGGCCAAAGAGCTGCATGTGGCTCGTGAGCCACCGTTTGCCGACCACTGACCTAAAGTATCACTGTGTTGCTGAGGATGTGGTGTTTTTTCCAGGCCTCATTTCCAGGCTCTTGTTCATTATTCTAAGGGCTATAACAAACCAAGTAGTTTTCCAGTAATAATAAAGAGCAACTGAAACTTTCTGTAGATGTATAAAAATTTAAGGCTGCTTATTAAGCAATATTTATGGAAAGGCTGTTGAAAAAAGTTTAATATTCTTTTTAAAATGCAGGAAAATAAGACAGGAATTAAAGAAGTTAATGGCCAAAGAATGCTGTTATCCTCTTGGCTACAAGGGCCAACTGGTTCCTTAATATTTAACATTAATCACTCCAACAACTTCTTTTGCATCTGTATGTATTTCCACAGCTATAGTTGCTCAGGAGAGGCTATACTTATTTCATAAAAGCTTAAGCAGTCACTGTTGGAAATGCTTTTGATCCAGCGCAGTGATTCTTAACCTGGACCCAGGGACCTTTAAAACAATACTGATGAAAGCTTCTGAAGAGAGAGGCCCAAGCCTGGTGTGGAGAAATACTTAATATTTATTGAATGAACCAATCTGGGAAAAGAGGGCAGAGAACATTTGGCCCAGGAGGCCCTGGGCTTAACAATCAAGAGTGGTCAGGATGCATCCCAGGACAAAACTGATCTGAGCTTTAGAAGGTCTTCTCATCTTGGGTTATCTCCTTTGCTTGTACTACTTTCCTTCTTAAGTGTTTCTAGCTACTCCTCTCCTCCAGCAATCAAGACTACTGGGCTTTGCACTTTCCTGGACTATGAGCACATGTAACTTTACAGTCTAATCTGGCTTACCATAGTAGATTTTGGGGCCAAAGCCCTAGAAGGGCCTAGCTATAATAAAGATTTGGGGGGTTGGGGAGGATTACAATAGCCTGCGCTTATTTTATGGAACAGGACAAAACAGCAAGGCAGATTTTCAGAATTCTAGATACTAATCGGTTATTTCCCCTTGTCCACACCATCACGACTAAGGATCTACTGTGAATTGTGCCATACACATAAGGGGTGTCCTATATAATAAAAGCCTGATATGCTAAGTGTCTGGTCAGCCATTCAACCAGTCAAAGCGTAATATGCTAATGATATACTAAGGCCACTCAACCACTCGCTATGACATGCACTGACCACCAGGGGGCAGATGCTCTCACCAGGTTAGCTTGCTGCTGGGGTCTGGCCAATTGGGAATGAACAAGATGGGCCGGACACGCCCTGGAGCCCTCCCACGATCCCGCCCCGGCCCCAATCGTGCACTTGTGGGGTCCCTTGGCCTGGCCCAGGGCATGTGCCCTGACCAGGAATCGAACTGTGACCTGATTCATAAGTCAACACTCAACCACTGAGCCTTGCCAGCCAGGCTGATAAGTGCTTTTTAATTCTTTTAAAATTCCAAAAGTGAATGTTATCTCCCCAAATGTACTCTAAGCTTCCTGAGAAAAATGGTTTATTTCTCTTCTTTTTTCATTCTACATAAAAGACCAGATTCTGCACAACCCATGATTATTAAATAAACTTGATGATTTGATAAAGGAACTGTACTTCTAAGAACTTGAGGAAACAATAAAATAAGTACATATAAACAAACACTAAGATTTAACAATAGTGTTTTTGATCTAAAAAGTTAGAAACATTTTAAAATCCCAGCAACAGCTGTTTGACTAATTGAATTAAGGAATAGTCATATGACACATGACATAGCGATTAGAAAAGTGTTTTTTATTATTAAATATATTTTTATTGTTTTCAGAGATGAAGGAAGAGGGAGAAAGAGAAACATCCAGGATGAGAGAGAATCATGGATCGGCTGCCGCCTGCACGCCCCTCACTGGGGATCAAGCCTGTAACTTGGGCATGTGCCCTTGGCTGGAGTCAAACCCGGGACGCTTCAGTCCGCAGGCCAACGCTCTATCCACTGACCCAAACCAGCTAGGGCTAGAAAAGTGTTCTTAATGCTAAGTGGAAAAAAGATGGCAAAGAAAGACAATAAAATGCCAGTTTTGTAAATTTAGACACAGACATTGCTGTAAGGTTGGTTTATATAAACCTTTTGATAGCTGTTAAATTAAATGCAATGAGCATATATTATTCTTACAATCAGAAAGCCAATAAAGCCACTTTAATTTTGGAAGAAAATATTGAGGTAACAGGAAAATTATACTCAACAAAAAATATAGAGTGTACTGCCAAGTGTAAACTAATGGCAGTATATGTCAATGAGTATACCAGTGATAGCAACCAGACATAGTAACAGCTCTAAGTATTTGCAAATATTCTTGCTTTGTTATGTTAGTACATTTGCTTGGTTCTATAAGCTAAATCCTAAAGGGAATCATAAAATAGTGTGAGACTAATTCCTGTATCAATGAATTTATACTCTCAATGTAAAAATGACATTAAACTAAATTAACAGTTGCAAATGTACACAAAAACATACGGAGATTTCATTGCCACTGTACAGCAAAAACAAATGCAAAAAATATTGACATAT